GTGGAAAACGATTGCTGCTGATAATCAAGCCTGAAACCTCTTGCCATCAGCTCTCGAAGCCTCTCACTCTGCTGCAGATTGGGCGCAAGCCTACTCACTTCCCCTTGCCCCGACCCTTGCCTGTCTCGAGGACCCGCTCGAGATCCCTCTCCAGAGGCCCCTTGGGAGCTGGCCCCGCGAGCCTCGACATGTTGGCCGACTGAAGAAAGTATGCCGTGAGAGTCTCCCAAACCGCTGGCATGTGAGTGGCTCGCAACTGAACGCAGACCGACAAGACTCCGACGCGGGGTTCTGGAGCGTCGTTGCGAGCTTTCTTGTACCGAAAGTGTGTCACCAGCTCGCCGATCTGAGTCGCCGTCGACTGGAACACCACGTCCGCCCAGAAGCCCCTCAGAGTGGCGTAGTACTTCTCGTTGGGATGGTTGCCGTCCTTGGAGGTGTCGTCGATGACGAAGCGCAGCACAGCCACGAACAAGCAAACGTGTGGGGCGCCTCGAGCTTTCCAGTCGACCTTCTCGCCCGCCTGCTGCTCGGCCTTCATCTGCTTGGACATATGATCGTACTGTCCGTTGGCTTTCACCGCCACCGTGCCCAGGTCCTGCTCCTCCTGCTCGGGGGTCTGGAAGCTCTCGAACAACGATCCCTCGATTGCCGCGATCTGTCTGGCGCTGGTGAGGCTGAGCCGAATGAGTCTGTCCATGGTCTGCCTGTCGATCCTGGCCCCCTGCTGCGGGGGATCTCCACCGGCGGGAGGCTGACCTCCTCCTCCTCCTGGTGGTGGCGGCGCCCCTGGGGCGGCCGTCTGCTTCGCGACCTTCGAGGCCGATGCGGGGTCCACGAGGGGGCGCTTCATGAAGTTCGGCATGCCCACGTCGTCGGAGGCCGCTGCCGCTGCCGACGCCATGTCTTCGAGGCGTAGGAAGGTGAAGTGCGTCAGAACGTGTAAGATACACTGGCCAAGGAAGATGAACCAATACATGGCTACGGAGATCATCAGCACTCTGTCCAACAAACGGGCACATCCCACAACTGTAGCTCTGAGGTTCAGTCACTGGCACCAGGGAACGAGGACCATACCCACCACAATAGCCTCTCTGCAGAGCGGACTGAAGGTGTCGGGCTGCCATAATCTGGTTACGGAAGACCTTCGAGCACACAGGACACTGATTATTCGTGACAAGAACGTGGCTCAAGTTCCGAACGTGGTGGCGATGCCTGAGGTGTTCCATCAGCCCCTTTCGTGTAGCGAATCGGCACGGACACGGTACAATGGACCCATCCTCTGCCGTCGTCGAGGCAGTGCAAGTGTAGGGCAACTCAAGAGTCTCCACGGTCCCCTCCTCTTCCATCTGCCTACTCAGCCCCCCCGGGGTAATGCATTGCAGGCTAACGTCCCCTGCAAAGAATTCTGGAGGAGGTACTTCATAACTAACCTGATGACTACGAACTCTGCGAAAATCGAGAGACGCGAAATCCTTCATGTCCTCCTCATCCTCCAGCAAGAGCCACGGGCAGTCCGCTATCCTCGAAAGGAGCTCCTCGGCATCAGGACAAGACTTGATTGCTTCTCTTATGTCAGTTCCCACACGTTGGGCCCAGGGAGAAGCGCATTCCGTGAGTCCGACGGCCCCGCAGGGCCACTTATCAGAGCTCTCGAACCCCATATCCCCGCCGAAGAGAGCCACGAGTACCTGGATGTGTGAGTCCTGGTGACGAGCCCGACTCTGGTACCAGTGCAGACGACGTGCTAATAACTCAGTAAAACAATCTGTAATTCCCCAATAATCAAGTACTTCACGAGTTGCTAAAGATCGAGCATGATCGTCGTCCTCGAGTGCGTGTGTGCATGCTGCGCCCATCATAGCTGTGCGGCCTAATCTTGCCAAGTGCTTGTCCAAGAGTGTGTGCTGCTTGTCGGAGAGTATGAAGGGTTCCAATCCCGACAGCAGTGAACCCTGAACTAGTCCTATGAAGACCACTCGCTTCCATGCCTTCGGGCTCTCCATGGACCAGAAGGCGCCCATGCTGTAGAAACCCGCGGACGCTGCATTCATTCGACGTTCAAGCTCGGGAGATGCCAACTGCAGCGGCGTAATCATCGGACCTAGATAACGTGCAACATCCGAGACCGTACCCGCGATGCGACCTCCCTCAATCCCCTGGGAACGTATATACTTCTTACATAAAGCCGAACCAGAACCAGCAATATAGAATTGTGTCACCTGCTTTTGTTTGTTCTGCACATATCCCGTAGTAGCTAAAGAGGCATCTAGCAAGTCGTCAACCTTGTTTAACGTGTCGAAAACATCCTCCATCCCCTCCCCCACGCATAATGGAATGATTCTAAGCAAGTCGTCGGCGTACTTCTGGTAAGACATGTCCAACTTAACTCCACACCAAAGGGTAGTGAGTAACTGAGTGGTCGGGATAGCCTCGAAGACGCTGTGGGCCCAGTCCTGAACAGGCTTAACAAAGGCACCAGCAAAACCCTGAACATTGAAGGGGTCCCCCATAACTCCTCCACATCCTGTCTTCATCAGTAGCGGGCCCGTCGTAGTGTCAACTTCTACGACCGAGAGCCTATACCTCTGACGACAAAGAACTCGATCCTCGGGGGCTGAATGTTCATTGACGACGGCGTCGAGCGCCGTCCAATTGGTGCTGCCAAACGCGTTGGAGAGATCTTTCATCGTAGTAGCGTAACTCCAACCTGCCTGCCGTAACCGAAAGCCCATAGCCATAACACTCATAACTGCATCCTCACGTCTACGGTGCCGAGCGAAACCGTGGTCTTGAGGTGGCAGTGTAACAGGTAACCTCTTGGCGTACCAGGCCTTACCAATGGACGGGAGGGTGTGGATCAACCTGCGGCCACGCGGGCCCGACACATCATTCTTGTAGAGACTAATACCTTTGCTTCGATGCCAGTACAATGGTGCTAGATCACAACGTCGGATTTGAACTAGTGCTTGATGTATTATATGGTGACAAACTTTAAGATCTGGGAGGGGTTCATGGAAACCTAGCCCGTAGCCTCTCTTAGATAAGCCAACTTCAGGAGATAATAACATATCCCAGACTTCCAATGGGCAGGTTCCAGGCGGCACAGCTTTTCTCTTACTAGCCTTGCGACAATAAATTCGAACTGCTTTGAAGTCTAATGCGCCTAACTCCTCCAAGATACTTTCCTCGCCAGCAGTAGTAGGGGGTACGGGCTGCTCATCATGCTCTCCTCTCCACTCCTCCCATGATACTGTGCTAGCCTTCATGCCTCCTTCTCCACCCGGCAGTGACAAAAACGATTCCCAAACAGACCGATCAAGAGGGACAGGACCAAGACGACGCCCATCCCGCTGTTTAGCTCCGAAACGACAACGAGCGGCACGACGGGATAAGTGCATAGCGTCAGCAAGCCGACGGGAGCGCCAGGCCTCCTCAATGAGTTCCACGTGCAGGGCCTTTTCCGCTCTAGCTGCTCGCCGCCTCTCGTCCTTAAGACGAGCTGAGAGACGTCGAAGTTCCTGCTCCACCTCCTCCAACTCCCCCTCCGTGCACACCTCCCCCTCTTCTCCTTCAACCGAGAGCGTTCCACCAAGAGTTCTCGACGTCGGGCACTGTCCTGAGAACTAGGTGCAAGAGGGGCCTGCCGAAAGTGTTGGAGTCCTATCTTATGCAAGCGACGTTCCAGGGCCTCGAAGCTCTGGTCGGGGGCTCCCGTGCGTGTGAGGTTAAGAAGCTCCTGCTCGTGCGTCTCAAGCTCATTGGCAACGTCTCTGAGGAAAGGAACCTTACCCCTGCCTGTACGTAGTGCCTGCATAAGTGCCGAAGTACACATCTTAGGAGGAGGTTGTGGTGGAAGGTCGTGCGGGTCTTTTGTGTATAATATCTCTAAATAAACAGGTACGTGATCACGTGGTGGTAGCCCTCTAACTGCCTGCACTTTGGCCCCGAGCCCCCGCAACGTATGACAACTAGCGACACGATCCAGGTAGCCCTGCGGAATGAAGAGGAAATCGATCAAGGAGGGCTTGGACGGGTTGCCGCTTGAAAAAAACGTGTATTCCAAGGGACCAAAGGTGGAGGGGATACACATGTGCTGCTGCTCCATCATCTTCCTAACTTCCTCCCCTGCTCCCCGTCGCCTATGTTCACGAGTACGTGTGTCACCGACCGCCGTCGACGGAACCGATTCCCAAGTACCGCTAACCTTCGATAAGCCTACTCCATCATTCAGGTCAGCGTAAAACACAGGTAGTGTACGAGCTGGGAGCGACTGTAGAAGATCCTTCCACCATTGAACGAGCAACTGGACCGTAGCAAAATATCCACCAACTTCATCACGCCGAGAGGGTTGAGGTGGGAAGTAGAGCGACCCATATACTACATCTTGTGCGCCGTGCTTCACGCGTGCTGCAACTGCCCTACCTGCTGCCCGAGGAGGTGCTGCCCATGTTTGCACGATGTCACGCTCACGATACTGACGACCGAGACAGACTGCGCACCCTGTACTGCGATTTGTGAAGGGACCATGCTGGAACACCGACTCGATGATGACCCGCCCTTCACAACGTCTGCGCAGCACCCCACCGCCCCTCCTGCATGTCTCCTGCGTACCTGCTAGTAATAACACATCCGAGCCCTTCGTATTCAATAGCAACTCATTTAGCCTGACTCCTGTTGCATACATGGGATTGAAGCCAAGAACACGGAGGATTGAACGCATCGGCGCCATGGGGCCGTCCTCAAGAAGGGCTCTCTGTGACCCCCCGCACTGCGTGCATGTGTATGGAACCCCAGGTACAGTATCAGTGTGTGCTGCACAAGCTGGGGCTAGAAGGAGAAGGAGGAGGAGGAGGACAAGGAGGAGGAGGAACAGGAGGAGGAAGAGGAGGACGCGCAGGAGGAGGCAGGCGGAGGAGGAGAAGGAGGAGGAGGAGGACGAGGAGGAGGAGGAGGAGGAGGAGGAGGAGGAGGGGGCCACGCCGTCACAGTCCGATCTCCTCCAGCTCCTCCAGCATGCCGTGGCTCTTCTCCAGCTGCCTCGCGCCGCCGTGGGAATGCGCCACCTCCTCTCACAGGGGCTCGGGAGGGGTCACCTCCTCCCCCCTCCTCCCCCCCTCCTCCTCCCCTCCTCCCTCCTCCTCCGCCTCCTCCTCCTCCTGCTCCTCCTCCTCCTCCTCCTCCTCCTCCTCCTCCTCTTTCTCGCGGCCTCTGCGAGACCAACCGGCGCGCAGAGAGAAAAGGGCACCACTTCCGGGAAGAGAGGGCGCGGTCGCCGGGCCATCCCATGATGCCCAGACCCCAGGCGCGTTCAAGTTTTCAATGCGGGGGTTAAGCCGACCTCTGAACCACTTCCCGGGGACCGGTTCTGCGTCCTGGGGGCTCAGAGTCCAAGCGCGACCCCGAGACGCCAGAAAACACAAGAGCTTCGTCTTGGCTTCTACAAACCGTTGAGGGCTGGGTCAAGAATGCGTCCGACACGGCAACTTGAATCGGAGATCTTCTGACCCAGGTCAATCCAGACCCGGGTCAATCAGGCCTTGCAGAATCCTGCAAGATCCTGCAAGATCCTGCACCCAAACCCGGGTCAATGAGAAGAATCATGCCATGCAAGATCCTGCGCCCAAGCCCGGGTCAATGCAAACCTGCCCCTGCAGGATCCTGCAAGATCGGGCGCTCTGGCTGACCCCCGTTTGCATTGACCCCCGTCTTAAGGCCCCCGATGGAATCAGACCGCCGCCAAGCCGGCCGAACAAACCAACGCTGTGCGAGGCTGGGGGGGAGCCGATGTCAACCAAGATCGCCCGGGCCCCGCGCGCGAAGCCCAGGAGGCGGCGGATAGCAGTCTGCAGCATGTACGTGGATGGCTGTGATGCCGACTTCATTTCAAGGGGTGCGGCACCTTTGGAGCTTGACGGTACTCAAGGCCGCGCTGAGTAGGCGCTCAGGAGCGGCTAGGCAAGGGATTACAACTTATCAGGCCCCTGTCGGTGTTCTGAACATTACCGACGCCGACGCCATATATACAGAATGTTGTAAACACTTTCAAACGATTAAGAGCATGTCGGATACGATTCATTGCACTGCGCTAGCAACTGCACTACACTGCACTTATCATTGCACTGCGCTAGCAACTAGACGGCGTCGATTCGTGCACTACGGTAACCCCTGCACTAGGAGGGCGGAGGGCGCGGCCGCCGCGCCCTCTGCCCTCCGCCTCCTCCTTCCCCTCACTGTATCACGCGACGTTCCCGTACACCGGCTGGCCGATGAGCGGCTGCGGCTGGCCGACGAAGGGCTGGCCTTCCAGGGGCGCGCTCGCCGCGGTAGTCAGGCTGCAGCAGCACTCGACCTTGACGCTGGTGGCGGTGTCGATCTCACGCGCTTCCTGCGCGACGACACACTGAGTGCAGAACGCGTACATGAGGAAGTCCACGGCGACGCTGGGTCCCCCCTCCTCACTCCCGCCGAGCTTTACCCGCAGCTTGCGGCGGTACCCCTGGAAGACGGCACCAATGATGATCGCCAAGATCATATGCATGAGGTTGGAGGCAAGGCGTCTCGCGAACTCTGGGTCGCCACCACTCGCCGTGAGAGCGGTGCGCATCTGGGTTGAATCCGGGGAATCCAGGGAGTCCGGGGAATCCGGGGAGTCAGGGGTGGACGTCCAGGGAATCCGGGGAATCTGGGGAATCCGGGGAGTCCACGGGAGTCCGTGGAATCCGGGGAATCTGGGGAATGTGGGGGCATCGAATCCTGTGGAAATCTGGGGAATCCGGGGAGGAGTCTGAACATCGATGGATCCGCAGGGGAGTCAAAGGAATCCAGGCAACCTGGGGAACCAGAGGAGCCCCTATCAGGAAGGAGGATGGTGCACATGCATAGGGGCAGGAAGGCGACGAGAAAGAGGAGTCTGCGGAGGATACCTCTTTCCGAGGCTTTTTCCGGGCCGTCCCTAATGCCCTGCAATTGCAGGCATTCAAGACGTCCAGCATGGCTTCCAAGACGGACCTGGGAGGCCAGCAAAGCCGCCAAGATCGCACAATGTGCTTCCAAGACGGCGCAAGGTAACCCGTGGCCCCAGATAGCCTCAGGATCATCCAAGAGGCTTCCAAGAAAGCCCTGGGGGACTCCCTGCGAAGCTCTGAGAAACCACAAATCAATCATTCCCCGTAGGTTGAAGACGGCCCAAGAGGCCTCCAAGACGACCCCATGACGGCCCAATAATGCCTTCAGATAGCCCGAGAGGCCTCCAAGACGGTCTCACGACAGCGCTAGGAAGCCCATGGAGAACCCAAGACGGACCCAAAGCAACCCCTGACGGCGTGAAAGGACCCCTGGACGGCCCAAGACGGCCCAACGACGGCCCCCAAAGACCCACCAGACCGTCACGAATGCCCAGGGAGCAGCCCACAGACAGCCCAAGAGAACCCAAAGACGGTGCAAGAGGACCCCTAAAGGCTGCCGCTCAGGAGCCCCAGGCAGCCCGGATGCGGACGAAATTAGGTCCATACGGCCCCTGCGGGAAATCAAAGCCAAGGCCGCCACAGGTGTCCGCATTCGTATTCGTCGTCGTCTTCCCCATTCCTCCTCATCCACTTCATCCACGTCATAATCCGCCGACCCCAGAAGCCGTGTGAGGGAAAGTCTCTGTCCGAGCATTGCTCGCCTCCGACCCTCCATGCTCGCCTCCGACCCTCCTTCACCGGGCGAATGGGTCCTGGGACCCCCCACCCTGCAAAAAGCTCCCCGGCCCCTCCCCTGCGCCCCGGCCCCCCCAAGACCCCAAGACACTGGAGCTCTGTTCTAGGGACCCCCCTTCAAAAAGCTCGCCGGCCCCCCCCCCTCCGCCCCGGCAACCTCAAGCCTCTTGAGCTCTGTTCTGGGGACCACTCACCCCGCAAGAAGCTCCCCGTCCCCCCCCCCTGCGCCACGGCACCTCCAAGCCTGGGGAATCAGGAAAAACCGGGGGATCTAGGGAATTATGAGATTCCGGGGAATCCGGGGAACCAGGGGAATCCGGGGAACCCGGGGAATCCAGGGAATCCGGGGAATCCGGGACCTAGATGCGCACCATACTGCTCGCGCCCATAAAACTCGCGACGAAACTGCTCACGATGTCGGCGACGATGAATGCGAGGACGAAGATGCCGATCACGGTCCAGTACTGCTGGATGCCAGCCGCCTGGAAGGTGTCCCCGGCGCGGCAGCATGTGCAGAAGAACGCGTGCATGCAGGTGTGACAGTCGTCGAAGCAAGCGAAAGGGCCGTTCTCGAAGTCGCCTGAGGGGAGCTGCCGCGCCGCCTGGTCCAAGTGCGGCCTCTTGTCGGCTACGTCCTGCTTGTACTTGCAGGCGAAGACGAGCTGCCCCACGCAGGCGCCGATCGAGATCGCAGTTAAAGTCATCATGGATATCAGCATCATGCCTGCCTCCGCCTCGTGGTGGCCATCCATGCCGTCGGAGCCAGAGCCCCACTGTCCGTTCATGGCCGCCTCTGGGGAAACCAGAAGGTACCGATACCGCTACTCCCTGGACCTCTCCCTGGGTGCGTTCTGACCAGAATTTCGAGGCGGATCAAACGGTGGCGACGAGGGTCTCCCACGAGGCCCCCAAAGGGGAAAACGGCCGAAGGGTAGAGGTATGCGAATCTTTCTTCCTCCTCCTCCTCCTCCTCCTCTTCCTCATCCTCCTCCTCCCTCCTCCTCCTCCCTCCTCCTCATCCTTCTCCTCCTGCTCCTCCTCATCCTCCGCCTCCTCGTCCTCCTCCTCGTCCTCCTCCTCCTCCTCCTCCTCCTCCTCCTCCTCCTTCCTCCTCCTCCTCCTCCTCCTCCTCTCCTCCTCCTCCTCCTCCTCCTCCTCCTCCTCCTCCTCCTCCTGTTCTCCTCCCCTCCTCCTCCTCTCCTCCTCCTCCTCCTCCTCCTCCTCCTCCTCCTCCTCCTCCTCCCTGGACCTCCCCGTTGGTGCGTTCTGACCAGCCTTTCGAGGGGACTCCCACCGCGGCGGTGAGGGCCTCCCAGGAGGCGGCGAACAACGACAGCGAGGGGAACGGACGCGGCATTGGTACCCTTTCCTCCTCTGAGCCTCCTCCTCCTCCTCCTCCTCCTCTCCTCCTCCTCCTCCTCCTCCTCCTCCTCCCTCCTCCTCCTCCCTCCTTCCTCCTCCTCCTCCCTCCTCCTCCCTTCCTCCTCCCTCCTCCCCTCCTCCCTCCTCCCTCCTCCCTCCTCCCTCCTCCCCCCTCCCTCCCTCTACTCCTCCTCCTCCTCCTCCTCCTCCTCCTCCTCCTCCTCCTCCTCCTCCTCGTCCTCCTCCTCCTCTGCGCCTCCAATTCCTTCTTGAGCTCCTCCTCTTCGGCTCCGGCGTTGAAAAGATCGCCGCCATGGTCCCATGTCAACCGCCTCGACATCACCGCCTCTGGCGCCCAGCCGTGGGGTACCAGCACCGGCACCAGTCTGGCGCTCGAGCCCGACGGCCACGGCGCCACCAGGTCGAGGCTCAGCAGCGCCAGGGGCAGCATCAGCACCAGCGGGAGCATCGCGCAGCGGACGTGGTCGCACGGGCTGCGCCGACGGCACTGCTCTCGCACGATATTGATGGCGGCTCCCTCTCGAGCCGCAACGGCCACGACACCCCGTGGATTGCTTGTCCATCTCGGGAGCTACGCGGAGCTCTGCGTGGGGGGCCTTCCTCCTCCTCCTCCCACATCCGTCCTCCCTTCTTCTTCTTCTTCTTCTTTTTCTTCTTCTTCTTCTTCTTCTTATGATGATGATTACTATTATTACTATTATTATTACTATTATTATTACTATTATTATTACTATTATTACTATTACTAGTGTTATGATTATTATTATTATTATTATTATTATTGTTATCATTACTATTATTATTATTATTAGTAGTAGTAGTAGTAGTAGTACTATTATATTATTATGATTATTATAATTAGTATTATTATTATTACTATTATTATTATTATTACTGTTGTTATTATTATTACGATCATGACTATGATTATCATTATTATTAGTACTATTACTACTACTATTATTATTCCTCTTCCTTCTTCTCCTCCTCCTCCTCCTCCTCCTCCTCGTCCTTCTCCTCCTCCATTTCTTCCTCGTCCTCCTCCTCCTTTTCTTCCTCGTCCTCCTCCGCCTCCTTATCCTCCTTCCTCCCCCTGGTGGCCCAAAGGCGACCCCAATATATCGAGGGATGCCCAGATTTCCGAGCGCGGCGCAAAAAGCATGGAGAGTTCAAAACAACGTGGCAACGCTACATCGCAAACATCACATATACGAGACATCAGGCAATGTGTTAATAATACGTAGCACCCCGCAATCACGGATAAGGGTAAGGGGCCGCGGGGACGTGGACGTCTGCAGTCTGCGAAGCTCTGAAGAAGACCGCCGCAGGCGCCGAATTTAAACAATTATACCACGAGCCAGCCGCGGCCGAAGATTTCTGTTAAAACAATGTGGGTGGGTCGCGGGGTGGGTCGCGGGTGGGTCGCGGGTGGGTCGCGGGTGGTCGCGGGTGGGTCGCGGTGCGGGTCGCGGGGTAGGCCGCGGGTGGGTCGCGGGTGGGTCGCGGGTGGGTCGCGGGTGGGTCGCGAGTGGGTCGTGGAGCGAGTCGCGGGTAGGTCGTGGGTGGGTCGCGGATGGGTCGTGGAGCCGGTCGCGGGTAGGTCGAGGGGGAGACGACACCAAACAACAACAAACAAACAAAACAAATAACGCGTTTCATGGGCACTTGCCTTGGGAACATTCGGCGGCGCGTTTCAATCCGGGGGGTGGCCCCCCCTCCCAACACTCGGCGCCGTCGATTAAAACCAGGGGGACTCCCCTCCCCCCCCAAACCCCCCCTCCCGAACGGGAGCCCCCCCCCCCCCTCCCGAGGGGGGGGTACAACCCCACCCCCCCTCTCGGCGCCAGCGCCAGCGCAGGCGCTGGCGGTCGCCAGTAGCGCCCACGGCGGGGACGCAACGACGATGACCAGAGGCATCTCAAAGGGCAGGGGGGGGGGCGGTTTCAACCCCCCCCCTTCGGGGTGGGGGTAGGAGGCTTCCAGCCCCCCCCCCCCCGCCCGCTGGCGCTGGCGCCGGCCAGCAGCGCCAGCGCTGGCGCCGGCGACGGCGGGGACGCAACGACGATTACCACCACTACCACCACCACCGCCACCACTACCATCACCACCACAGCCTCAACCCACCACCACCACCACCTACAGCACCACACAACCACCACCACCACAGCCACCACCACCACCACCACAACCACCACCACAACTCACCATCACCACCACCACCACCACCACCACAAAAACCCACCACCACTACCACCACCACCACAATCTACCACACCACCACCACCACCGCCACAACCACTACCAGCAGCACAACCCACCGCCACCACCACAAACCACCACACCACCACCACCACCACCACCGCCACCACCACCACAACAAACGTCCACAAACCACCGCCACACCACAACCCACCACCACCACAACCACCACAAACCACCAACACACCACCACCACACCACCATCACACCACCACAACCACCAAAACCCACCACCACTACCACCACCACCACAATCTACCACTCCACCATCACCACCACCACCACCACAATCCACCACCACCACCACCACCACGACCGCCACAACCACCACCCACAACCACCACACACCCCCCACCACCACCGCCACCACCAACCACCCACCACCACCACCTACCACCCACCACCACCCACCCACCACCACCACCACCACAAACCACCACCACACCACCACCAAACCACCACCACACCAACCACCCACCACCACACCCACCGCCACAACCACAACCACCACAACAAACCACCACACCACCACCACCACAACCACCACACCGCTACCACCACCACCACCACCACCACCACACACCACCACACCACCACACCACCACCACCACCACAACCCACCCACCACCACACGGGCGTCCTCGTCGACCGCTCCCGCCACCGCCGTCGCCCCGCAGGCGCGCCCCGGCGCGGGCCCAGAAATGGAATCGTCGTCCCCCGCCGTCGCCAGCCGCCGCCGACGCAGGCGCCGGCCCGAGGAGAGGGGAGAACGGGGGGGGGTTGAAACCCCCCCCCTCCGTCACGGGCCGGGGGGGGGGGGTCGAACCCCCCCCCCCTTTATGCAGGGGGGGGATCCAATTCCACCCCCCCTTCCCTCCAAGCGACCACAGAAAACGCTCTTTCAAGCAGAAACAACACTTACTTACAACAACACGTGCAACAACAATTCGAGAGATCCACATCACGGAATCCCACCTCAGCCACACACCCAGGGACAGGGAGTGACCGCTCGGCCCCCTTTCGCTCTGACGGATGGCAAAAACTATTGGTTTCGCTTGAGACATCCTCGAAAACGTCTTCGCTTCGCTTGATGTTGCGATCTCAACGTAAGAAGGAAGTTAACCTCGATTGTGAGCTTTTCACAGTGATAAAAAAAAAGTTCGGCCTCCGCGCCCTGCGCCCCTGACCAAACTCCTCTTGGCCGTGGATAATCAACTCTAACCTGGAAAGGGGGGTCCTTTATTATCACCAGCACTGGGTTACGTTCATTTCGTGTAGAACACATGTGACCGTGCGTCGACGTGTCGGGCGCGCGCGCGCGATGTGCCAAGGCAGCAGAAGAGCGCGCGTCGCGCCTCCTGGGGAGCCTTCCCCTTATAGAAAACCGGGGGGGCGGGCGACGGCGCTGCAATCTGCCGCCCGAAACAGAATGACAACGCGCCGCCATCAGCGGTGCGTCGGGCATAACGGCCTGAAATAGGGCTCTGCGAAGGTAGCCGCTGGGAACTTCGGACACTACTGATGCCCGAAAAGGAGCGAGCCCAAACGGATTCATTCCCCGACCGTCGGGCGCATAAGGAGGCCAGCGGGCCTCGAGATGGGCTGTCGGAAGCTACCTCCGCCGACCTGTCCCAGCGGCCCACTTTAGAGCATTAAACGGAAAAGGGGGCCATGAAGGGCCGCGCCCAACCAGAAGGAGGCGCCTGCAAAGATGATAGAGGCGACCAAGAGACGCAAGATCGCCCGCGTACAAAGCGATGCGCAGTCTCACTTGCTCAATACCACGTTCTAAAATCTTTCGGCCCCGGCTCTAAATTGCCTCGAAAAGAACGAATGGTTTGACGTCGTGTCTGAAGGACTGGCTCCCGACATCACTCCCGACGCGGGGTCCCTATCAATGCCCCCCTTGGCGCGGCCATCTACGAGTTCGAGAATCCTATCACTGTGACTGAGCAACGCGCGCTGGGTAGGGATCTTAAGATCTGCACTCGACAATGACTCTTCTCCAGATTTCGCAACCATAAGCAGGAATACCTTGATCGACAATCTACCGCTTTCTCGCGCATCACGAAATGCCGAAGGTGATGGCGTTCCGACTTGTAACTCATGTAGGGCGATGGGTTTGCGGCGTGATTCGCCCAGGTTGGGGGCCGCCGCCAGCGCATCTGCCGCGCAGCTAGACCGAGCTTGAAGCCGAAGGGCGAGCCCCGTCGCACAAGTGCACTGCGGATGTGCCACTAGGCGAGTTCCCTCGCAGGAGCAGGCTTGTTCGTCTAATGCCGTGGCCTTCTGCGCCATCGCCCTCTCCACCATCCTGCTTTCGGTGGCCGGAGTCGCTGCGGATTTCCATTTCGCCCGCGGGGCGCATCTGGGGGGAACTCGCCCTCTTTCGAGCGCTGATCACTCTCCACTATGCAGCGCTCAAGCAACGCATCTGGACACCCGCGTGCTCTTCTATCCCCTGGGGAGAGACCGCGCGCCATCAACCAGATGTGGGCGGGGGGCGCATCGGGGAGGGCCCCGCTGAGACTGAGAAGTAATTCACAGACGCACCCAGTTGCCATCGCCTCTGAGACGCGGGTCGGGATTGCGCGGCGCCGTCGTCTTGATCCACCACTAAGCCCCCCGTTCGTCGTCAGTCGCGCATGTTGCGGCTCAGTTGGCGTAGAATTTGCTGCCGCGCTTGCGCGCGCCAGCGACTTGCTCGACCCGTCTGTCATAATCGCGACGGTCTTTTCGAGCCCCTTCGCGCTGACGACATCCACTAGCCGGGGTGGGATCAGGGCCAGATTCTGGATCAAGGTCGAAACTGGATGGATTTAGACCGATGGCTCGCGTCGCGCTGCGCAGTTTGAGCCATGGGGCCCCAGGGGCGTCTTTCCTTCGTGCCCGTGCCAGGTTTCAGGCATCTCAAACACTGACGACTGTCGTCGCATCACGAAAAACCTGGTCGCGCGCGTTGCACTTGCGCGACTCCAGATGGAAGCGCGCCGCGCACGTGGCGAGCTTCTTCGCCAGTCGCGGCAGGGGAATTCCTCGCGGGGCAAGCCTCTCAGGAACGCTTTGTCAACTTCCATGGGCGCTAAGATCCACCGTGGGCGACAGGCTGCTTCGCTGGCGAGTAGTCGCGGCGATTGGCGGCGAGCGGCGCCAGGGGCGCCTCGATGCCAAATGCGCCCATGCCCATGA